TCTCTCTCTCTCTCTCTCTCTCTCTATAACATTTCTGTCCCCCTCACTTCTGAAATGATGGCTATGCCCCTGTATGGCATTATTAAATGTTCTTTTTAATAAAACATTAAGTTTTCATTATTAAAGGTTTTTTATATGAAGTAATATCAAGCTTATAATTATATGAAAACACTGGCTGTTAATTTGATTTGAAAAGTTGTTTAACCCTCAAATGATCTTCGTTTAATGTTTACACTTATGGTCTTTTGAAAAATTGAAAGAGTAATTGTAAAAAATATATACATTTTTAATCATACAAATAATATATCATTTTTTTGTTTACTTCTCATCTATACATTAAAGCTGTGTTTTGAAGTACTTTTGTACCTATTTACCACAAAATTCCTCAACTACACCATTAGCTTGCATGTGAAATATCAAATTTTTATGAAAAAAATCACTTAAATGATGATCTAAATTTGATTTAAGTTGTTTCTGGATATTGATCTAGGTGTTAGGTGTAGAATTCTGCCATCTGTTGGTTAGAGATAAACCTAAAATTATTAGAGTTTAGGAAAGAAATAGTTTTTACCAGCAGAGGGCCATAGAGAGCCATTAATTTTACTGGACGTGGCCAACTGCTCTTATCACAACTTTTGTGATACAATCTACAATCTACAAACAGTAGATTTTTTATTTTTGTTTTTGATGCATTTTGAAATGTCTGTTTTTACAAAATGCCACAGAAATTTGACAGAAAAATGCCACATAAGACAAACCTAGAGGACAAGACTTACAAATAAATGCAGGCTTGGTGAGCAGAAGAGACTTCTTTATAAAACATTAAAAATCTTACTGATCAAAAACTAGTTGGTTATATAGATTACAGAAATGTTATATTGTAATGTTTATATATATATATATATATAACATTTCTGTCGTCTTTTGAAAAATTGAAAGAGTAATTGTAAAAAATATATACATTTTTAATCATACAAATAATATATCATTTTTTTGTTTACTTCTTATCTATACATTAATGCTATGTTTTGGGAGATATTAAGTACTTTTGTTACTATTTAGCACAGAATTCCGCAACTACAGCATTAGCTTGCATGTGAAATATTAATTTTTTATGAAAAAATCACTTAAATGATTATCTAACTTTAATTTAAGCTGTTTCTGGATATTGATCTAGGTGTTAGGTGTAGAATTCTGCCATCTGTTGGTTAGAGATAAACCTAAAATTATTAGAGTTTAGGAAAGAAATAGTTTTTACCAGCAGAGGGCCATAGAGAGCCATTAATTTTACTGGACGTGGCCAACTGCTCTTATCACAACTTTTGTGATACAATCTACAATCTACAAACAGTAGATTTTTTATTTTTGTTTTTGATGCATTTTGAAATGTCTGTTTTTACAAAATGCCACAGAAATTTGACAGAAAAATGCCACATAAGACAAACCTAGAGGACAAGACTTAGAGTCAGATTGTAGTTGCATATTATTGATTTTACGGTAATGAACCAAGTGTAAAAAAAACAATAATTAACTTTAGAATGTAGAAGAAATTAAATAAATATGTAAATAAAGCCAACAGCAATATGAAGAAATCAACAGGAGTGAAGAGTGAACATCAAATAACAATAACATTTTTTACAATCACATTCTGTGGCACTCAAACCTGTGTGTGTGTGTGTGTGTGTGCGTGTGTGTGTGCGTGTGTGTGTGTGTGTGAGTGAGAGAGGGAGAGAGAGAGTGTGTGTGAGTGTGTGTGAGAGAGAGTGAGAGTGAGAGTGTGAGTGAGTGAGTGAGAGAGTGTGTGTGTGTGTGCATTATGTCTCACCTCTCTTTGTTCTGCACAATCTTTGTTCTGCATTTGTGGCTGATTTTATTTGCCAAATTCTATACAAATGCTCTATGTGGCAGTCATACCTGTGTGTGTGTGAGCATGTCTTTTCTACATTGCATTTGTGCTCTAGTACCAGGCCTTCATTTTGGTGTGAAAATTTTCAGATTTAATCCGGTAATGACGTGTGACGGCATAGTAGTGATGTCCCAATTCTTAGGGGAATATTTTCACCCCTACCCCTGGACACTCTGTTTCAAGAGACAAGGGGAAGGGGTAGGCGGATGGGTAGGGGAAGGGGAAGGGGAAGGGGTATAAAATAGAATTGGGATTGGGCCTTAGAGTCAGATTGTAGTTACATATTATTGATTTTACGGTAATGAACCAAGTGTAAAAAAAACAATAATTAACTTTAGAATGTAGAAGAAATTAAATAAATATGTAAATAAAGCCAACAGCAATATGAAGAAATCAACAGGAGTGAAGAGTGAACATCAAATAACAATAACATTTTTTACAATCACATTCTGTGGCAATCATACCTGTGTGTGTGTGTGTGTGCGTGTGCGTGTGTGTGTGAGTGAGTGTGAGTGAGTGAGTGTGAGTGAGTGTGAGTGTGTGTGTGTGTGCGTTTGT